TGTTGACGAGTATGGTGCATACTGTTGGTGTAAAAGTAAGGTGTTAGATCTGGCGCATGCAGGTAGTGGTGGAGCAGAGTGTGGAGAGGAAAACTGGTACAGGCAGATAGTAGAACACCTCTTGTAGCGCTGAGGACATGTCCTCCATCTTCATTTTTGAGGTTTTCTTGAAATAAATTGTGCTTAATTTTTCTACTCGACCATGCTGCAATACGGCATAAGTGCCGAGCTATCTCTAGTACACAATCTGCATGTCAAAAACATCTGGCAACGGAAGATGCTCTCACTCTCGCTGCTAATCACTGGCTCGAGAACCGTTTTGATCACAAAGTTACTGGCAGTCCCCCCGTGGTTATGTCAAAGCCATTTGACCGTGTACTCGATGATCAGTTGTCGTCCGAAATGTATTCTGTTGGCCTATCTGGTAAAGCTTTGGAATGGTTCACGAGCTACCTATCTGATAGTTACCAGCAAGTTCGTATCGGAGGCACATTGTCCAAACCAGTACCTTGTTTCCGAGGTATTCCCCAGGGTAGTGTGCTTGGACAACTTCTGTTCATATTGTTCACTCGTCAACTCAAAGAAATCCTTCCTGGTAGCATAGTTCACCAAGAGTTCGCTGATGACATTTTCCTGGAGGCCTGGAGTCGTGTCGCACAAGCCGTGTGCCCATGTCTGACTGATGGACCCACTAGTGTTTTAGCCTGGTTAGGTGATCTAGGTCTACTTTCAAACACCAAGAAGACACAAGTGATGTTCATAAAGCCCCCCCCCCTCCCCCGCCGCGTGCTCTGCAAGACATCCACCATCCAATACATCCAATACTCCAGTACAGTGTGGTCAGAACGTTCTACAAGTTGTACATTGTGTGAAGTAACTTGGAGTTCACGTGGATGACAACAAGTCTTGGTAAGCTATGGCGGCATGGACATGGCTTGACAGTGAATGCCCACCGCACTTGATACATTGACATGATTCAGTCCACACTCTGCTATGCTAGCAATGCCTTCAACCCAGCTCTTTCTCAGCATGCACTTGGTCATCTGGAGCGAATGGCCAAGGCAGGGGTGCGGTCTATTTTGCTGGCACCAACTGCTACCCCTACCGCTCCTTTGCTTGCACAGACACGCAACCTTCCTCTTGTCCACATAATAAACATTTAGTACACGTCCATGGCTGTATCCAGTCTGCTACAAGTCCGCTTTTCGTCAATTTCGTTAGTCTAATTAATGCTGCATGCCCGCCTAACCGCCGCATAACTCGTGATCGTTCCTTCAATATCTTACAAATACCCTTCCTAAAAAGCCCTTATAGCCGATCATCAATCCAGTTTGTGGGAAGCGTATTTCGAAACAGTCTCGCGGCCGAACTGCGATCCATTGGAGAGAAGAAGCAGTTGCGTGATGCATTGCTCTCGCAAGACCTCCTTATTCTTCCAGTCGCCTAAACTGCTTATTGTACTGTTCCAAAGATCTGGATCTTACTCCTGCTTCTTAATCTATCATGAAGTTGATTGTTCCCACTAGGAACACACGCTTCTTGCCGAACTTGACACTTGACTGACTCACGACTGCCATCCGGAGCACACGAGGAGCACGTCGCACCTTCCACTCGGCAAACCTGCAAGAAAGCACCACTCCCTGCTCAATACACGGTGTTTCGGGGAATTCACCCCTTATCGGTTGAGCTTGAGTAGGCTGAGGAAGATTGTGCCTGAAAAGCACCACATATATACTGCTCTCCAGGCCAAACCATCACCAGGGATACAAACTTACAGAGACGCTGTGTTTCCAGCGCGACAAACACCTCGTGAAGCTCTAGGTAGCAGCGTGAGTCAGAGTCGCTGATGGAGTGAGTCAGTCAAGTGTCAAGTTCGGCAAGAAGCGTGTGTTCCTAGTGGGAACAATCAACTTCATGACTAATACCGCCGAAGTCGCAACTTCTAAGTTCGTATTGTTGTCCCTCACGCGGACGTGCGACTAGTTGTTGGAGGTGACAGCGTTGCGAATAGCTATACTGGCTCTCAACGTCTGTTTATCACAACTCCATGAGCGACTCTGACTCACGCTGCTACCTAGAGCTTCACGAGGTGTTTGTCGCGCTGGAAACAAAGCGTCTCTGTAAGTTTGTATCCCTGGTGATGTTTGTGCCTGGAGAGCAGTATATAAGTGGTGCTTTTCAGGGACAATCTTCCTCAGCCCACTCAAGCTCAACTGATCAGGGGTGAATTCCCCGAAACACTGTGTGTTGAGCAGGGAGTGGTGCTTTCTTGCAGGTTTGCCGAGTCGAAGGTTCGATGGACTTCTTGTGTGCTCTGGATGGCAGTCGTGAGTCAGTCAAGTGTCAAGTTCGGCAAGAAGCGTGTGTTCCTAGTGGGAACAATCAACTTCATGACTAATACCGCCGAAGTCGCAACTTCTAAGTTCTTAATCTATACTACATTATTATCTCCACTCGATCTCCCGTCCGTGAATGCTTTTCCTCCTCTCCCAATTTTATTTTTCCCCTCTCCTCTTCTAAGTCGTCTCCTTTGGAGAAGGCACTATTGAATGTTTGGTTAAACGACTATAAATAAAAACACAACTAACAAACAACAGCAAACTAACTTGCTGAAAAGATTACGTTTTTTCCTTAGTGGCTTAGCTGATACCATAACAATCGGTTTATCGGGTAACCGACTATTACTGTAACTACATCAGTACATGTACATTCTGTTTTACCAGTCCAACATCGCCAACGACGGAAAGTGGGCGCATAGATCCTACGATCTCGCAACAAGTCCGTTAGCATTTCGGACTGACCAAACGAATACAAACAAGACAGATGCGACCCACTGCACCTACTGACTGAGGCCAGGGGTGCAGATCGGCGGATTTCGACGGATGCGCTGACTTGAGGCGCGCCAACAACCCAGACGCCAAGCCTAGCTCGTCGTGGGGAAAACTGGTTCGGGAACCGTCAACAGAAAGGAAACACGAAACTGACGACCATCTTACTGTCTTCAGTACAACACTACTCGCACGTGGAGGCAACTCCAGCCCCTGTAGCTAGTGTAGACACATAATACTGAGCCTGCCAGTCCTACATGCTGTATGTAAGAAAAGCAGTAAGCTCAAAAGACGGTGATCGCGTCGATGTTTCTCAGATCGTGCTTGCACTTTTACACGTACATCGATGTTGCAAGTGTTCAGTCATGTACATATACATATTCATGTCGTACTCGTCACACATTCGGTGCATGCAAACTTTGTGCGACCCCCCAAAAGGGGGAAATCACGTGCCGAGTGTAAGTACCATTCTACTCGTTTGGCGACTTAAACCGATAAAATCAAAATAACCGCTGGATCTATTTCTTATCGAGTAAGTAACGAGTAATCCATATAATCCTTTCAGCACTGGGCCCGGCTGGGTCATACCTGGATAGGAAAGCTTGCCTCCTCGGCGATTTCTACTCCAACACTACTCCCAATGCTGCAGAACAAAGTGTTTTGTTGACTGTGACAAGTAAATGCAGTAGCGATCACTTGTCCCACCAAACAACAAGCTTCCCCTAGCACCAACAACAATTTTAGTTGCGACCGCTGACGCAAAAGTGACTGAAGTTCTGAGCACAGTTTGAATTTTATTGCAAGATGCACGGTGAGATTGCGTGCTTTGTGAAGCAAGAATGGCACTCATGAGAGGTGAAAGGCACGTAACGTCGTAAGTCAGTCTGTGGCCTAGTGTACTTGACCACAGCTTGTGCCTCTTTGCTACACGGGAATGACGAGGCGGTTCAGCTTAGTTGTCAACATCAACATGATCACTGAGATCCCAAAAAAATTGCCAGCCTCTGCAAAAACGCCGCCACCAACTTGCTGACACCTGACCAAACCTGTGCCGTGCATTGCGATCGTCTGGCCCTGCGAGTTGCTTTAGTGTCACTACCTACAAACATTGTCAGTCTTTGCTCGCCAGCTACTTGAACTACACTGTCAAACAAGTGTTTGAACACAATTTGAGAAGATGATTGCCACAGGTTCATGAATGAAATGTGGCTTGAACGCGCTCCACAAAAACCTTTTTTCATATCCGTCTTTCCTCATCTTTTACGAAACTCAAAGACGTTATTAGCTGACAGATATCGTTTTGTGCCTTGTTGTCGCACTATCTCACTGTATATTATCACTTGTGTATCATGCGATGCTTCAAAGCTATTCCATGAGAGAGATAAATTTAAAGAACAAGTTAAAGGTATGCACAACCAGGTAGACAGTCTGATGTAGAGACATATATACGACTTCTTGAGTGGCAAATGACATATATACGACTTCTTGAGTGGCAAATGACATATATACGACTTCTTGAGCGGCAAATGACATATATACGACTTCTTGAGTGGCAAATGACATATATACGACTTCTTGAGTGGCAACTGACATAAATACGACTTCTTGAGCGGCAAATGACATACATGTATATACGACTTCTTGAGTGTCAAATGACATATATACGACTTCTTGAGTGGCAAATGACATATATACGACTTCTTGAGTGGCAAATGACATATATACGACTTCTTGAGTGGCAACTGACATATATGCGACTTCTTGAGTGGCAAATGACATAATATACGACTTCTTGAGTGGCAAATGACATATATACGACTTCTTGAGTGGCAAATGACATATATACGACTTCTTGAGTGGCAAATGACTTATACACGACTTCTTGAGTGGCAAATGACATATATACGACTTCTTGAGTGGCAAATGACATATATACGACTTCTTGAGTGGCAAATGACATATATACGACTTCTTGAGTGGCAAATGATATATACGACTTTTTGAGTGGCAAATGACATATATACGACTTCTTGAGAGGCAAATGACATAATATATACGACTTCTTGAGTGACAAATGACATATATACGACTTCTTGAGTGGCAAGTGACCATAAAATCAGCAGATTAAAGATCAACATGGAAACCAACACCAATAGTCGTAGAGCAGCATACCTGTACATTGGTCCCCGTCTCCAGAGTAACCGACGTTGCATCGGCATGTGAAGCTACCATCCATATCATTACACGTGGCATTGTTATGGCATGTATGACTTCCACCAACACATTCGTCAATATCTACAGAAAGACAAAAGTAATCAATATTGTGGTAACTGTTGCATGTTGAAACACTTCAATACCTTGCTTAACCATTGTTGTCAGTGTGGGACAAACATTTATAACATTTCAGCCTTTGGTATAATAATCTTGACCATTCTCATCTCTTGCAAACAATTGGAGGTAAGGGCATTGGGTAGAGACTTCTATAGGCTCTGAAGGCTCTGTACTTACTTTGGCATGTATAGAGGTGTGTTCTAACAGTGGGTACTTACTTTGGCATGTATAGAGTGGTGTTCTAACAGTAGATACTTACTTTGGCATGTATAGAGTGGTGTTCTAACAGTAGATACTTACTTTGGCAAGTATAGAGGGTTGTTCTAACAGTAGATACTTACTTTGGCATGTATAGAGTGGTGTTCTAACAGTAGGTACTTACTTTGGCATGTATAGAGTGGTGTTCTAACAGTAGATACTTACTTTGGCATGTATAGAGTGGTGTTCTAACAGTAGGTTCTTACTTTGGCATTTATAGAGTGGTGTTCTAACAGTAGGTACTTACTTTGGCATGTATAGAGTGGTGTTCTAACAGTAGATACTTACTTTGGCATGTATAAAGTGGTGTTCTAACAGTAGATACTGACTTTGACATGTATAGAGTGGTGTTCTAACAGTAGGTACTTACTGTGGCATGTATAGTTCCATAAAGCACCGATACATCTATAGCCAGTGTTGCAAGTAAACTCTCCTTTTGGTGCATTGTCACAGCTCTGGGAACAAAATGTTGAATTGAGATCTGCAAGAACGAACACAAGCTAAATCATCGACGAGGAGACAATAGTCGTAAAATGGCAATAAATAAGATAAATTTTGCACTCATAACAACAGCAAAAATGAAGAAAGTCAAGTTCCATAACGTTTTATTGTGACTGTCATCAGTGGAACGCCGTCACACAAAAATGTAATAACTAAAACACACACTTATATACATGTAGCTAATATGGTTTCAGGTAGAAATACAGCAGCCAGCAAGTACAAAAAGCGAAGTTTGCACCTTTGCAATTTGTGAATATAGTGTATGTGAGAAAGGTAGTGGCAGATGAATGTGATACTGTGTGAAAGAATGTAATGGTGCTTGTGTATTACTTGAAGATTGTGAGTGATACAAACTTTTCTTTCTGTTTACATAGCACAGAGTCACGAGTACGAATATACACAGCTTCCAACACCTGCAATTGCTTGAAGAAACGTGCGCAACGAATAACACTAAACCAGGAATCGTCAAATACCTTACGACATTCTGGACTGGACACCAAATGCTTGTACACTGCGGACTTCTTCTTGTCAACATCAAACTCCTCCTCATCACTACTCTCATCCTCCACCTCCATTCCAATACCGCCATCTATCCCATCGTCGTCATATGTCTCCATCTCCTCGCGACACCGCTTCCCTCTCCTTGATTCGTTCCGTGCCGTGCCTGTGCTTTCTCCTGTGTCTCCTTGCCTTGTGTTCTCCACTTGTATCAGTCGTGCCTGTCAGTCGTGAAGGTACATGTACGTCTTTCCCCTTTGCTTTTTGGTGTCGGAGGCAGATGATGGAACCTATTGCGATGTTTCTTTCTGACCTGTAGTCAACAGGCCCGCGTCAGCTAGTTTTGGTGTGACCGTCAGCTGGCAAGTCGCTAGTCGCAAGGCACTTTCAGCGCAAGCCAAAAACAGCTGAACTTGGTGAGACCGCGGCCTTAAAAACAGAATTAGGATCGCTCGTACTTGGTCCGACTTATTAAAATGTGCGTTTCGCTTCGAACATCAACCAAACAAATTCAAATAATCTCAAGACGGAATAAACTTTCCAGCTATCTAACACTATCATTCAGTTGTCAATTTGTGATGTTGAAGAAGAAATGGCTCCAACTCCAAAGGAGGCAGCGGCTCAGGATCCTAGTCGACTCGAGCATTTTGCGTCCAAATTTTGTCGTCAGAGGACTCCTGTTGCTTCTCGCGCAACACAGAGAAGGCCTGGTGCTGAAATCAACACTCCGCTGCAATGGGGGATTGTCAAGGAGTACCAGAACCTCCTAGGCGATCGTTCTCGAGTGCCTCCTGGCGGATTGAAATCGCTGCAATCGCTGTTTCCTTGGCAGAATTTCAGCAAACACGTCATCCAGAAACTCGTGCAGAAAGCACCAGCATCGCTCCGTCCAGTTTGCTGATCTCTCGCAGTCGTTCACGATGTGGCGGCCGACGAATCAAGATCACAGAAGAAATCGTCGAGAAGTTGATCGAAATAAATAACCGGCCTTGAGGTCGACTTTCAGGCGACAACCTGGCTGGAAAACTGAAGCGCAGGAAGGGTGAATTATCCGGCGGATACGGTGCGGAGTCCTCGGATCCGCGCGAGGAGCCGCGATCGCGATGCGTCACAAGATCGCCAGTCTCCGGGGCCAGTGGATTTGTGAAACAGGCAAGGAAGAGCATGCATGGTCTGACTGCATGACATGTCGACACAGATCAGACTCAGTATGCGCGCGGTACACGGTGGTCAGAAGTGATTTTTTATGCGTGGTGGTTTATTTGTTCGCCTCATTTGAAGGTGTGGTGGGAGCTTCAGGCGAAAACACCTACAGCCACCATTCTGGTAGTCGCACTGCACGAGGAGGAGGCGAAGTCGATCGTGGAAATCGTGCCTATGGAGTGAAAAAATCAAAGAAGCGCAGTGTAGCTTGGAGGAGATGAAAAAAATGTCGACGTTTTGCAGGTTGCCGCACTTGCAGATGCGCCCTGAGACACCAGCAGCGATGAAAACTAGAAGGTCAGGTCAAGAAACGACACAGTAGTTATCTATCTACCGTCTCTTGGTTGATTTTTTGGTAGAGGTGCTCCTTTGTACATATGCTTGAGTTTTGAAGTGAAGCGCACATTTTAATAAGTCGGACCAAGTATTTTGATGGCTTTGTTGCACTGCATTTTCTGCTTCTTTACTGGTAGAGGTAAGATGAAAAACCCACTGTATACATTGTCAAATTTGCTAACAAATATGACATTTCGGTCGACATGTTCTTGCAACTTTGCCTCTAGATAAAGTCATATCACAACGAGAGAGCTTGGAAGCTCAGGGCCCTTCGCTGTGCTTTTTTGCCTTGATGACCTAGACAAAAAAAGCATAGGGTTGTTATAAATTCTTTAAAAAAATCCTTTTTTAAGACATAATTATCCTGGGTTTCGAACCCGCACTATCGCGCGCCCTGCATGCATCCCCCGATACACTTCGCATAAATACTAATTCTTCAAAGTTGTTTCACATTGTGATCTTGCATTTGAAAGGCCTATTTGAATATGCATTGTGGCCAGCCGTCTTTGATGGCATGGTACGGTAGTGGATAGGTACGGGACATTTACGATCGAGGGTAATACAACACCGTCTCCCGTACCGTACCGTACCATCAAACAAAGCTGGCCACATACAGCTGCCCGCAATATTTAAATAGGGCTTTCAAACGCAAGATAATAACATGAAGCAACTTGGAAGAATGGGTATGAATGCGAAGTGTATGGGGGAATGCATGTAGGGCGATAGTGCGGGTTCGAATCCCAGGATTTGCCTGAAAACAAAATAGGAAAAATCGAAAAATTTATAACATCCTATGCTTTTTTTGCCGCCAGATACGGATAGCGCCAGGCGTGACACAAACAAACAAACACACAAACACACAAATACCAAACGAGAGAGCTTGGAAGCTCAGGGCCCTAAGCTATGCTTTTTTGCCTTGATGACCTAGACAAAAAGCACAGGGATGTTATTAGTGTTGAAACGATCTCACCGGATACTCGTTAGCTCGCTCGCCAGAAACTCGGCTCGTTTGTGCGGCCAGCTCGTTTGCACTAACGAACACCGTACACCGTACTCCGTACACATGGCAGTACATGTCGACTGGGGAGTCGTAAACTATTACTCCCTGGTCGATCGAGAGTCCAGTCCCGCGCAAAGTGAAAATCACTCGCAGGTGACTGTATGCCTGCACGACACTTGAGTTGTTTCAGTTGTCGTGGCAGCTTTGGTGGACTCTACTGATGTCTTGTTCCGCATCTGCTGACCTGTCGCAGGATATGCTTCAGTCACCTCTCCATTCGAGTGAAAGTTACGCTCAGTCGTTTGGAAGTTTTCTCCCACGATGCAGCGAAGACCAGGGCTACTTGCAATCTTTGCAAAACGGTCTATTCTTACAAAGGCTAATCGACGACGGCGCTGAAAAGACATCTCGACACCAAACAGCAGTCCGAAGTGAAGCAGCAGCAACCCCAAATGCCGGTGGTGATAATTCAACCAGCTGAAAAAATCGAACTAATACTTCGAAAAAAAATATTCAAAAAAATAATCATATTTTGCCACATCAATGAAACTCGTTAGCGCGCTCGATAGCTTGCTCGTTAGTGGAACTGATCGCTCGTTTGTTATAGATACGCTCGTTTCAACACTAGATGTTATAAATTCTTATAAGTTTCTACTTTTTGTTTTTAGACATAACCTGGGATTCTAACCGGCACTATCACCCTGCATGCATTCCCCGATACACTTCGCATACATACTAATTCTTCAGTTGCTTCACGTTATGATCTTGTATTTGAAAGCCCTATTTGAATATGCATTGTGGCCAGCCGTCTTTGATTGTACGGTACGGTTCGGGATAGGTATGGGACAGGTACGGGACAGGTACTGGACAGGTACGGTCGAGGGTAATACGACACCGTCTACCGCCTTGATGATTTCAAAAAAAAAAATATTTTATTTTATTTATGGATTCCCCAAAGGCCGAGGCCTAAGTCGAGGGGGTCTCCGTTCATGGCTTGCTGGGAATATATCTGCACAATTATAACATATAGATTGAGAAGAGGAAGGGTTATAACAAATGCATACTGTATAAATCAGCCATACCATTCTTTACTATGTTATAGAAACTCTGGAAGGAATGAAACCAGCGGGTTCAAAGCGGGTGTTGGCAAAGATGGTACGGACACGAGACACAAAGCAATGACTATTTTGGGTGGTTCTAATGTCAGTGGGGAGAGAATTCCAGGTGGCAGCGGTAACAAAGAGGAAGGTGGCACGCGAGTAGCTGTTCGCCCTGGCATGCGGTACAAGTTGGAGAGGGCGCCGCGCGCTGGTGGAGAGACTATAGCCCAGCTCCATAAGGGCAGTGGTCTGGTGGTGGTCCAGGTGATGGAGCTCCCGGAGGCACTGGATGTGTCGCCGCCATGCCAGACTGGGCCATTGCAGGTGCGCGAACAGAGATGCCTTCGGTTCAGTAGCGGAGGGAAACACACCGTACTGTCTCAAGACGATGCGTGCCAATCTGGCCTGCAGACGCTCAAGCACCGCCGCATGGGACGCAGACAGTTGGAACTGCCACAGTGGCGAGGCGTATTCGATGGTGGGTCGGACATAACCAGTATAAAGCCGGTTTGTAACTTCCGGCGTTAAAAAAAAGAAAAAAGGGATGTTTCCTATTTTTTCAGGCGTTACCTGGGATTCGAACCCGCACTATCGCCCTACATGCATTCCCCCATGCACTTCGCATTCATACTCATTCTTGCAAGTTGCTTCACGTTATCATCTTGCGTTTGAAAGCCCTATTTGAATAGTGCGGCCAGATGTATGTGGCCAGCTGTGTTTGATGGTACGGTACGGGACAGATACGGGATAGCACCAGGCGTGACACAAACACACAAACACACAAACACCAAATTAAAGCTGTGTGGACCCTGGCTAGAGCCAGACGTTACTGAAGTAACGTCTTTTGCATAGCTACGGGAATAACATAGTTTATACTACCAACAGCCCTGACAGCCAAATGTATAATGATTGCTCATACCAGCGCACTCGCATGCATTATTCATACATTCCATATTAGGCAATGCTCAATGGGCTTATTGGGAATACCAACTATACTACGCCACTGCATAAGTCGGACTTTACCCTATGATCGAAGCACCGCATTCCGGAAGCAACAGCAGTAACTAAGTTTCAACATTCCAATGTACAATGTACACTGACACAGATCCACTCAAATCCAATATACACCAGCAACAGCAATGACGAAGATGTATGCGTCAAGGGCTTTGAACATTGTTAAATGGACGATCCAACTCAGCAGCAGCATTAGTCAACCCGTACATAATTAGCTTTTCTCTTCTTTTCTTCTCCTCCATTCGCTCACAGTCGACACGTTGCTACCCGTTGTTGCCATCATATTATTACTTCTAAAGTAGTATTATTGCATCATATTATTACTTCCAAAGTATTATTATTGCATCATATTATTACTTCCAAAGTATTATTATTGCATCATATTATTACTTCCAAAGTATCATTATTGCATACAACGCTGAGTATTTACGCAATGTACAAAAACCAGCATTAGCCAAATGGAAGGAAGAATGGGGTACGAGCTGGAATGAGATACTTATACGCATGCAACTGCAGAATAGGCGAAAAAGAAAATATCAAAACAGTCCTAACAAAAAAAGAACGGTCAACAATTTACTTCAACAAATAAAACTCGAAAAACTGCTGAGTACTGTACTGTAATACTAGAGAGTTTTTGGATTCTAAATTTCGGAATTATTTTCAGAATGTGGTGGCAGGAGTCGAAAAAGGAGTCGAAACAGTAGTAGAACTTCCGGAAGTGTTTTTGCGAAAGTGCAAGGTTTTCCAAAAAATACATTCTCGGCTCTTGCCTGGTTGGGAGCGCATATTTGAACATGTGTGTATTATGTTTTCTGCTGCTCTCGCTTATCATTATTTGAAAATTTCCCAAGTGTGTAGTTTTGGTTTTGCTGGTTCTCCCCATGTTGACTAGATCTTCTCACACTCCATCTTCCTCTGCCATGGAGCCTACTACTGGCAGTACAAGACAGCAGGTCGCCAACCTCGTCTTCAGCTGTTGGATCACTCACTCCACCATCAGTTCGTCCTCGTCTTCAAACCGCATCCAAATTCGCTTTGACCTGCACATGGATTTGATCCTGCTGACACAACTCCTATTTTGTGCTCAACCCCTTTGTTTGCGGCTCTGTGGGATTCTAGGAGACTGCAAAATTTCCAGCCTCGTCTTAGCCAAAGTTTGCTAGTACCATTAGGAAGTCCGTCAGAGACCACACGCTGCTGCCGTTGGACCAACACGCCTCAATTGCAAAAAGGTTATAGGTTTTGTCGCCTTCTACGCTCATTTTGTTTTGCATGGCAACCCTTCGAAACGTAGTTAAAATAATACGATTTTCGGATTGCAAAACACTGAAAATGCCGTTTTTTGGCAAGCACATTTTTCGGAAAGCACAGCTGAAAAACATTCAAAAAATTCGGAATGAAAAACCTCTCAAATGATACAGTCAAGACATTGTCATGACATTGATAAAAAATTCACACAAATTGGGTGTCAGCATACACACAATGTCATAACAAACATTTCTATAATAATAATCATACCGCTTGCATGTCTTTATCTCTAAACATTTCCTCATATATATTTTTTTCATCTTTCTGTGAGAACCGGACCTATAGGCCGGTAAGAAGGCAATCATGCCTGTGCAATTGTTGAAGTAAAATAAAAGTCAACAACAGCAACAACAACATTGTACAGATTGTCGAAGTAGACGTACAGAGGGTCAAAGGCCGCGGACATACATGATTGTACATGACTATTATTATGAAATAGTATTCACAAACAAGTCCCACTTATGGTTTCTGTTCGTAAAAGGAAATTTCAATTTTTTGGTCATATTGTTCGTTCCGGCTGTTTGTCATTGACTGCTCTTCAGGGTTGTATTCCTGGAGGTCGTGGCCAAGGCAGGCCCAGAATGTCATGGCTTGATAATATTATTTCATGGACTGCACTTGATGACCGGCTACAGAAGACGACCGAGAACAGAACTGCAAATCGTCCTACACAATGATCTGATGAGTATCGAGAGGTCGCTCAACCGTACAGACCTCTGCAGATTGCGTGAAATTGCGCGCACGAGATCCGGGTGGCGTCAACTAGTTAATGACATCATTGACAATAAATATGTGTATCACTGAACAGGTCTAACTTACTTATGGCTACTTGCAATGTGCCAGTGCCGCACCAGCGTGTTGCATTGTTAATGTCTTTGAATAGTATGCATATGATCAAGTGTTAGTTCACCTATATTTTTTCTCTTTTTCGTTTTGCGTTCTTTCTCTTTTTCTCCCCTTCTCATCTGGTATCATGTCTAACATTGGGTGTGACTCAAGCGAGGGCTAGGCTAACGCCGATACCAACGCGAAAGGGCTGATGCTGATGATGACTTGACGTGCAGTTCCTGCTCGCTGCTGCACGTGATCGATTTTTATGGCGCTCGCTTGTTCATACTTGCTCTGTGACGCCCCGTCGGCCTTAGGGCTATGGGCTTGTGATGATGCTGATGATTATTATTACTATTATTGTTCAAAGCATCATTTGGGGAAGTAAACTGCCTGAAAAGAGAAAAAATCGCCAGACCCAACAGGACTCGAACCCGGGACCTTGCTTGTCATGAGCAATGCTCTAACCACTGGGCTATGGGACCGGGTTGAACCTAGAAGGCACTGACAAGTTTTTCACTCAGGCAGCTCCCAACACGTGCCACACATACTGATGGCACTTGGGTCTTTCTCCCTCCCCCAGGGGACCAACCACGGTCAGTTTCTGGACCCTACCAGAAGTGAAAGAGAGTGATAAATGTTTGAAAGGATTGGGAGAACATCAAATTCAAAGGATCAATTGGGGAAGTGAAATACCTGAAAAGAGAAAAAATCGCCAGACCCAACATGACTCGAACCCGGGACCTTGCTTGTCATGAGCAATGCTCTAACCACTGAGCTATGGGACAGGGCTGAACCTAGAAGGCACTGACAAGTTTTCACTCCAAAGGCAGCCCGAAAATACCTTGCCAGAGCGTTCAAACGAACAAATCAGTGATCATAATAATCATTAAGACCTTACAGTACGCTTTCCCAAATAAAACGTATTCTCATTGTACAGGTGAGGCAAAGCACTAAAATATATCCCGAAAAAGCCAGCAATAAACAAAGTCAACCTTAAGATCTCTATTACTGCTTTGAATCCCCCATGTGACAACAAAACACTTACTCTGTATGTATTTTTCAGAGTCTGCTTGAAAGTTGGTTACCTGAGGTAGACCTTGAGGAAACGCTCTGCAAAGTTGATGACCCACAGTTAGGCTGTTGTTTACGATATTCCTGAACACGAAAACGAAGTGCATGACAGTTTGAGTTACTGACACCCTGCTAATTCATTATGAAAACTCTATGAACCTTACATGCAACCTATATGCACCCTGCAATGGGGAAGTGGCTGACGTTGTAGGAAGATTCACATGCCTTGGGAAACAATTCATCATCTCCGACAAAACAACTGCAGAGCTGAGACGTCTTTTGACCCTGGAAAGACAGAAAGTGGGCAGGCTTGAACCCGTTTGGGAATGTGACAAGACAAAGGCAAAAACATTCCTCGAGGAGAAAACAATTTAAGTATCGCATCAAGGAGGACGAGCTGGAGTGGTGTCGGATTATTTTTCACTGCCCAGTAATGGAGCCCACGCTAAAACAGTCAGACGTGAACAAGGTAGCACTAGACTGAAAAGGAGTTCTGATACATTCCACATTCCACGGCAAAGCAGTGAGCTTGAGCACTGCTGGATAGCGCTAAACAACGGCCTTCCAACTTGGAAGATCCTTGGATATTATTGATAATTCAAGAGATGACGCTCTTTGGAATTATCACTAATATGTACGAACCTAGGTGTATAGGTGTGTGTTTTTGTTATTATTATGTGACGGTATTCCACTGATGAAAATCCCAAGAACACGTTATGGAACATTTAAAAGGGGAAGTTCACCCTAAAAATCAAAATTTCACAGTTTGTAGATTTCGAGGCGCTGAGTTCGGTGGTGAGTGGTCCCATCCCCGTGCGAAACGCCGTTCTGGAGATATTTGAATTTGAAATGTACCATGACGTCATGCGAAATGACGTCATGCGGCCGGCGCACACCCCCTCCACACCCTGTGACGTCAAAGAGATACAGGCTCCCGGTCTGCTTGCTTTTCAGTGAGCGAGGAAGAGTGGCGTTTGTATAGTTTCTTTCTTGCGACCTGAACAGTTTCAACCACGATGCCGGTTTGCTGTGCTGTCGGCTGCTCTAACCAGTCTGGCAAGCCCCTTGGGACCACGGTGCATCGTATTCCGCGGGATAAAGCTCTCCGAGCGGAATGGGTTGCAGCGATTCACCGCGAGAATTTGCCACCTACGTTTGAGGAGAGTAGTGCAATTTGTTCCGCACATTTTGAGGAGGATGCCTTCCAGAGGAACTTGCAGGGAGAGATGGGCAAAGCGTGCCGCGGAAAGCTGAAAGCAGACGCTGTGCCATCGATCTTCCCGGACAGGCATCCCCCAACGATGCGCACGATGTCGCAGTATCAGGAGAGGCAGGAGAGAGAAGATGTGAGTGAATGGTTTTGGTAATTTCGTGCTTTGAGAGCGTGTTGAAAATTAATTTTGTCTGTACATCGCGAGTTGGAGGGAGCAGTTTCACCCACTGAGTCTGTGTTGAGTACATCGTACTAGAGAAGATTATTCCCGTAGATGGGAAGATGGGAAGCCTGAGTAGGGGCTCCAAGAAGGAACCTGTGCTGGTTAGGCAAGCACATTGGATTTTACATACATGTAGGTACAATCTGCACATTGGTTTAATGATCACTAGCATGAATGCAGACTTGCTGAATCCCAATGAACAACAACAGCACAGCACAGGTGATCAAGTACTATCAGCACAAAAAAAACAGCAGAGAGTTAAAGGAATCTAGCTCGAGTAAACTGACACTACACAGTGTGGAGTAACTATAACGTGAAAACCGTCTCGGATCGCGATGCCGAATGATACCATTGAACTGACAACATGGCCCAGATCACTGACTGCTTGGAATCTTCTTCTTGCGGCCCCTGCTGCACTTGTGGCCCGTTTCTTTTTTGTGGCGATTCAGCTGGTACGCAGTGGCGAACTTCTTTCCACAGCCGTCAAAGTTGCAAACATGGTCCGGACGGGGGTCATCAGGAGCACGGCGCTTCTCTGACCTCTTGTCATGGACAAGCAGCAGATGTCGGGACTTGTCAGCCTCTGACCGAAACACATAGCGATGACATGCTGAGCAGATGAAGTCCTCAGGCAGTTTGCCCGATAGCGATGGCACTGTGATATCCAGGACTTCCTCAGTAGCAGTGCGAGCTGTGCTGTCAACGTACGTGCGGAAGTGACCATCGTGCGTTCTAGACACGGCAGGCGTTGGAAGGTGGCCACCCATCCTCTGCAGCAGAAGAGTTGCAGCTTCAGCTGAAACAGGGCTCTTCGAGCAATGTTCGCAGGTGGGCGACTTGCACTTTACAAAGGACAAAGAGTAGCAGGTGCGCACGCAGTGTTGCATCAGAAACTGCAATTCTGCTCTCAATGTGATCAGGTGCTCTTCCTCACGAATTCGTGTGATACCTGTGCACCAGACACCAAAACGAATACACCACACAGCAGAGAAAGAATTTCTTCATCACAGTACGGTAAAATAATCGAGATGATTCGCGAATACACCATTTTGTGTGTGTCATACACCCTTCTTCAGAAGTCCAAGACTCTTTTGCAGCCTTTTCTTGACATACAAAAGCACCTCTACACCAAACTATCAGCTGCCCAGAATACAAAAATACCTATACGGACAATATACATCGTCTGGACATCGTTGTGGAAGAAATGGAAAACATTCAAGCATAGATATGCCGCTAAATCCAGGGTGAGTATCCTAGAATTCACACCCAACATGCATGCATTTCTCACTGCAGAATATGCAGAGAGCTTTTAACAATTCATTGCCGATATATCAATAGAGTATTCACCTATAAATAAACACACTGAGTGGAGCTTACCAGCAGAGAGGAGCTCCTGAAGTCGCTCATGATCAGAGTACGGAGAAGGCTGCTCAGTACACCCAACACTCTGGGAAGATATCGGAAAACCATCGAACAATTTCCCATCCCAGTACGAATTGAGGCACTGGAGAGCTTCATCAAAGGCCTTTGCTTGATCTTCATGACTAGCGTCTGCAGACAATGACAGTGGAAGGGTGACACCAGCCAATAGACGTGACAAAGGAGACCAGGCATGTTCAATGCTGTTGAAAGCGCTATCACCAGGAGCATGTGTGACCATGAGCAGGAAGTCAAGCCGCTGGTCTCGCCACAGCCGGCCGATATTGAACATGGTCAGTGTGCTCTTGGTACTATAGTCTGGGCCGCCATCAACGATCATGCATACTCCAGACTTGCCGCTGGCTTTGCTGTTGGCAACGATAGATGATAAGTCATTCACATGAGTTTGCGCAGTGGCATCATGGAACCTTGCAGCTCGGTTGCGAACGAACAACTTTCCGGTGTGCGGTGCATTGAAGTGTAGTCTGCCCAGTCGATCGCGTTTCATGGCAGATGGTGTTGCATTCGAACTATCACTTCGTCCAGGGAGACTCAGACTGCGCTGTCTTGACTTCACACGATGTGACGGCAGCGATGAGCAGGACGCAGAGCGAATGCGACTTTGCTGGCTGCCGGTACGGTCATGAGCATCTTGCAAGAGCAAGTATTCAGACGGAATGACCTTAGCGTTCGCAACTGGAAAATCATGGTCACTGTACTGTGGGGCATCATCGTTCGGGAAGAAGTGCCTCAGCTGGTGGTAGCGACTGACCGCCAAACTACCGACATTCACCTTGTTTTTGTTGTCGCAACTGAAGAGAGCTACGCTGTCATGAAATTGCTGGCTGAATTCCTTCATGAAGCCGACTTGGGCAAAACAGAAGTGACTGTCCGCATGCTGACCATGGACATCATTAACCTTCGGTGGAACTCGGACATCCAGCAAGCTCTTATACCGGCGTGCATTTACAGTTCCCTTGCGAGGAGGCACCATCAGCTCATGTACTGCTGTGCGGGAGATGGACTCTAGGCCAGGAACAGAAGAAACGAGGTGGGCTTGGAGGTCTGCAAGGGTAACCCCACAGCTGTTGCCTGCCTCGGTCCGCCGCCTTTCCTGAGCACTGAAGCCATGGAGCTTGATGAAGTCAAGGGCCACTTGCACAATAGTAGGAAATTTTCGATGTAGTGGAACTCTTCCACGAGCCAAGGGCTCCATTGTCGTGACATCACCAGGCAAGGGCAGAGTTGATGTCCCTCTGTTGTGATCAGGGCCTGCTGGCGTAGGACTGGTGCCACCACTTCCTTCTTCAGAAACAAACAGCAGGTCACTGAACATATCGGCACCATGGAATTCATGGACGTTGACAAATACCCACTGTTTGTCACACTTCCGAAAGACAGACAGGATAGGCAGCCATGACATGAGCTGCTCAGCGATGGCTTTCTTGACAATGATACTCATCTGGTCATCAGTGATGTTCGTCACACTACAAATCGCCTTGAAGGACATCATTGACGCTGCTCCAAATGATGCATGCAGGGAAAGCAACTGCTGAGCAGACAAAGGGCCCAATGATTTGCCGTTGGAAGACTGCAAATCACATAAATCTGCAGCGCTATCTTCCCAGCTCAGGAATGGGGACGAACAATCTATGACATAGCCAGCGGCAGATACTTTATTCCGCTCCATGATCTGACTGGTGCGCCTACTCAAAGGTTTACACTGGTCATCCAGTAACTGGACAAGTGAAACGGCTGCTGCAATGAGCTTGTTTGCCAACTCAGCTTTCTCCATGGCAGAACGCATACCAGAGAGGCTCAAGACAGCGGAACTTGTCACTCCAATCTCGGAAACAGCAGACACGTATTCCTTGACCGTACTCATTGTCACTTTGATGGACTCCTCCGTTGCAGAGATGTGGCTTTTCTTCCACTACCACTTCTGGTGAAACTGGTACACTTTCAGAACATCAGCGTGCACCTTCCATGAGTCGCTCAACCTGTCCATGGCAGCCAACAAATCGCTTCTCCCCAGGACGTCAGGAGTTAGAAACTTGTCGGGATCGACTTCCAGCGACTCGAGGAAAGCTACTAGTACGCGGCTAGTGTCACGAGTCTCACAATTGGCATCGCTACTATTCCTGTCGATACCGCAGGCAGCATCAGGCGTTACTTCGAAGGAAGAACGTGGACGAGGGTTCTCTGCTGGCTTGTCCAATTTGCTAAAGTAACCAGATAGAGTCGCTTGAGACGTGCTTTCACTCTCCACGATCTCCACATCGTCAGGTTCGGACACGTTCTGAAGCACGTTCTGTCGCTCGGACTCGCTCGACTTCTTCCACTGGTCCTGAGCCCATGCGAACCATTCGCCTTTTTTCTGGCATGACGTTGAACCTTTCCTCTTCCACAGTGCCTCAATAAACTCTTCATACGTAGACGTAGGGGGCCTGCTAAAAAAGGTTTGCTGTTTCAGAGTCCCTCCGAAGAGGGTCCTCTGTTTCGACATCACACTGGAGAAAACGGAAAAGAAGTGAGCATCGATACACTACTTTCACTGCCAGTTCCGTACTTGTAGCGCTACTGCACAGTTGTGCTCCCTGAGATCCGAACTAAAAATGCAAAGTGCAACACTGGCGCCCTGGCCCAGTTCCGATTGCATGCTGCATGCAGTACAGTGCGAGCTAGCTCTTGACCCCCAGTACCCAGGACATGTCGGCAGTCAGTTCACTGGGTAGCCGCACTGCACTGGTACACGACTTCAACCGTGTCAAAGTCATCTACCGAACTTCGCTACAGTCGGAGACTTGTACTCTACATCATGTACCATGATGTACATGACTACAAGTGTAGACTACGAGTACTGGTACAGTCTGAGACTGCATGCAGCTCATCGCGACACTGACCGCAAGGTACAACAGTACACGCACCGGGTACGGGTATAGTGCACTGCACATCCAAAGGAGTGCAGCGTTTGCAACAATCGATCCTACACTACCTGGTATACTGCATATGTACACACAAAAAATCAAAAAATAAAATTCCGCCAGCGCTCTTGACCACCCACCCCCTTTTTGCATGAGGACGGATTTTTATATTTTTCGAAAATTACGGACGACCCCTAACGTCTGGCGCTAGCCAGGGTCCACACAGCTTTAATTCCCGTAGCTATGCAGAAGACGTTACTTCAGTAACGTCTGGCGCTAGCCAGGGTCCACACAGCTTTAATGTGGTATTTGTGTGTGTGTTTGTTTGTTTGTTTGTTTGTGTCACGCCTGGCGCTATCCGTATCTGACGCAAAAAAGCATAGGATGTTATAAATTTTTCAATTCTCCTATTTTTTTTTTCAGGCATATCCTGGGATTCGAACCCGCACTATCGCCCTACATGCTTTCCCCCATACACTTCGCATTCATACCCATTCTTCCAAGTTGCTTCACGTTATTATCTCGCGTTTGAAAGCCCTATTTGAATATTGCGGGCAGCTGTACATGTATGTGGCCAGCTGTGTTTGA